CCTACGAAGGACAAAGTATTAACTTTTATTTTCTTGATGAGAAAACCAAGACGCAAAAATACTCAGCAAACCACCTAAAGTCACACAGCTACTAACTGTAGAGATGAAAGTCAAGTTCGGGTTTGTAGACTCTGAATATTCTACTCTTTTCACTATATTATATTGCCTTCCAACTCAGCAAAATATCTTTTTAATTTAACAAGGCCATTCATTTTTATTATAATATTTTCCCTTTGAGCAAGTCAGAACACTTTTAGGAATAGAAGGGAAACTCCTCAAATTTTCTAACATCATTTGTGTTTCTTAGGATATTCCTTAGAAAAAAATGCTTTAAATCTGTCTTCCACAAATGAGCCAGATGATTCTGTTTTTTGTATGTTGTTTATAGCTAATCACTAGTGGTTTATTTAAACTCCTGGATGTTTTCTGCGTTCTTTCCATTTAAAATTACATCATATTTACTTATTTTGGCTGTATGTTACTGAGTTTTTTCAAAGATATAGAGTTCTTTGTATTTAGTCTTTAAAGTTTAATAAAATCAGGACCACCACATTGCTCAACTCTGCTGGTGATGTTCACATCTTATCTATAAGGAAAGTGCTCCCTGAAGTCCTGCGTGCAGCAGTTTGGTTAAAATCTAACTCCAAAAAATATACAGAATAGAGGAATAGTTTATTTTATAGGACAACTTTGATTTCTTCCAAACCGCAAGTATGTAGATCTAGTTTCTCTTCTAATCATTTCCTAGCTTTGTGAAACCCAGAAAAGAGGGCAGTTTCAGGGTCAACCTGTGTATTTGCCTTTGCTGTGTGATGTTCTACCTAGCAAGATTCTAAATCTGAATAACCTTCAGGGGTCTCCTTGGCTAGGACACAGCTGAATCTCTAGGTTACCTGTAAAAATGCAGATTCCTAGGGTCAACATCAGTAGGATGGCCATCCTGAGGGAATGTCTCAAATTTTCTAACCTACAAATCCCATCAAAGGGATGGGAACCAAGTCATCTAGATATATATTCAAGTTTCAGATTTGGTTAAACTTAGAGCAAGTTTCTTACTTATGGAAGAGAAGCATTTCCATATAAGTTGGCTTAACTATATAAAATCTAGAAAAACAGTAGTTTAATTGTATTTCAAATTAACTTCTTGAGTTGGTATTCTATGTTTCCAACCCAGATGAAGAATTCTTAAAATTTCTAGGTAGCAGTCAGCTGAATACCCCATTGTATTTAAAAAACCAATCTAGATAACACTTTTTAAATAGTTTAAAAGTTTTAGTCTTGCATTTTTAACAAGCATTTCCTCTTCTTTCTTTACTGTAGAGCTTCAGTTTTCTCATCCCTCCCTCCACACAATTTATATGCTCAGTTCCATGTTCAAGCCAATCATGGTGGCCCCATTTCTCTTGCAATGATGGACATGTGATATAGTTCTGGCAAATGAGCCATTTAGGAGAGCCTGTTGCGGACTTCTGAGACATGTTTTTTTATTTCTGTAAAGGGTACAAGAAAGAGAAAATCCTTCTTCTTCTGGACACTGTCACATTTGAATGTGATGCCTGGAACTGGAGCAGCCGTTTTGTGACCTCAAGGGGAACTGGCCTGAATGTCAAGTTCACAACTCAAAATGGCAGACTGGAAAGAAGAAAAGGATCTGAGTCCTTGGATGAGTGAGGCGGCTCCAGAGAAACAGAACCAATAGCATGTATATAGATATACAAGAGGAGATGTATTGTGGATATTGGCTCATGTGACCATAAAGGCCAAAAGTTTCTACCATACGCTCTCTGCAAGCTGGAGAACCAAGAAACCTGGTGGTAAAATTTAGTCTGAGTCTGAAGGCCTGAGAATGGGGTTGTGGAGTTTGTGTTGCTGATATAAATCCTGGAGTTTGAAGGCCCAAGAAAAGGAGCAAACTGTCCAAAGGCAAGAGAAGATGGGTGTCCCAGCCCAAGAAGAGAGAGAAAGAGAGGATTCACCCTTCCTCTGTCTTTTTGTTCTATTTGGGTGGGCCCTCAGCAGGTTGGATCATGCCTGCCAACTCTGGTGAGGATTGATCTTCACTCAGTCTACTGATTTGAATGTTAATTTCTTCCGGAAACGCCCTCGTAGGCACACCCAAAAATGATGTTTTACCCGCTATGTGAGCATCCCTTAACCCAGTCAAGTTGACACATAAAATTAACCATCACAGCTCTTGATTATGGAGTTGAGCTACTTACTTAATCAACTCTGGCCAGCCCTACGACTGGACTTACTGTCATATGAAATAATAAATTGTAGCCAGCTGAATCAGCTTTTCTGTTAGGGTAGTCTTAATGGCAGAAAATGGAAAACATGGCTCAGCTGCTTTAAATTTATTATCTCAGTTGAGAGTATTGAAAGTGTCCAACATTAGGAATCATATTTTGAAGACTCTGATTCTGCCTTGATTTCTGCCTCTAATAATTCTCTCTCGCCCTTTTATTTGTTGATCCTTCATGCCATCATTGAGATGATCTTTGTAAAATTCAAAATTGCTCATATTAGAACTCTGATTAAATTCTTCAAAGGCTATTTATTTATCTATTTATTATTTTTTGCTTTCTTGGCTTAGCACACCAACCTGTCTTCACTGGATCCAGGCTGAATTTCTCTGACCACATATCTCATTAGGTCAGACCCCAAACACACCCTAAAGCTATTGTCATTACTTGACTATGCTATGTTCTGTCTCCCCTACGCTTTACAGTGCTATTCCCATTGCCTAGAACACCTTTCCTGACCTGAAAGGTCACCCCCAAACCAGTCTTCAATAGCCTCTTTTGGCGAGTCTTTCCTAATGTCCCCGCATAGTCCCCCAAGACTGTCAGATTCTCTTCAGTGCTTCCAGTACACTGACTGGAATCCCCTGCTACGACACAGGTGACACTGCAGTGTAATTGTCAGATTGTTTCCTACATTTCACTATACGTCTTTGAGGGGAAAATGTGCCTATTCATCTTAGCATCTCCAATGCCTAGCTTATTAACAGGCATAACATAAGCAGGTAATAAATGTTTATTAATGAGTAAATAATGCTATAATCCAGACTTGGGTTCATGAAGACAACTGTATCCTCTCTTTGTCTGATTTATTCCTGGTATTTTGCAGACTATTGCATCCTCAATAGTTAGGTAAGAAGGAGCAAAGAGGGGAAGGAAAACCTACAACTCCATAGCATCTGTTGTCAAAATTTTGGAGAAAGGTAAACCAAGCTTAGTAAAGATTTTCTTTCACATATCTTTTATCTATTCTATCTCTTTCTGACTCATACGATGAATTATTCAACCAATATATATTGATAGCCTATTACATGTCAAGCATTGCTTAAGCATTTGGAATATATTAGTGAACAAAATAGCCCTCAGACAGCATTGGCTCTACAAATAGCTTTAAACAATCATTTGCCCTTTCTGCATCTTAGACCTGCATTTGTGCACGAATAAGAAACACTGTGATGGAAAGCTTTAGATCATCACATAAAAGTCACTGATAAACACATGGATATATTGTTCATAAGTGCTGCCACTTCTGTCTAGAATCAAGAACATTTGAGAGGAAAAGGTTACTTGTGGGGGGGAAACCCTGCAAGTGCCGTGGCAAGGGTCTGAAGCCTCAGCCTGTTCCCATATAAATATTGATTTCGAAAATAATTAGAAATGTAGGCACATAGTCATTCCTTTATATAATCATATATAATCTTATAGTTACTTATAATCATAAAGATATATACTCAATATAACCTTTCCTTTTACTAATGACTATTGGGTTATGAAGCATGGAACTGAGGTGGCAACATGAACAAAATGATCCTAAGGCAAGATGCTCTTAGCCCTCTGTCACACCCGCATAAGGGCTGCTGGAGGGCACCTCGGTTGTGCAGCAGCGCTAGTGCTGTGAAAGCGCCCACTGTTTAGCCAGCTAGGGAAGGAGATGTCCGAAATGGTCAAGACCTCACCTTCCTAGGGAAGTTAGGAGAAAACTCCGCTTCTCCAAGCTCTTGTGGCAAAGCCTGACGGCTGTCAGGGAGACCTGCAGACATCTGGGGGCTTAACTGTCTCTATGTGATGCTGTGCCTCAGTGGTCAGGTTCAATGTCCACTCTCACGCTCTGCTTCTGCACTTGGTTTCTCTTTTTCTCAGAAGATAAGAATTAATTAATGTGCTTGACATTTCTAACAAATATGCAAAGAGTGCTGACGCATTAGATTTTCTCCCCATCTCGGCTATTGAGAGTCCTGGGCCCCCTATCTCCAAGACACGTGATTTACCTGATCCTATCACTGACCACCATTACCCCTACTTTCCCTGCCCACTGCTTTGTACTCAGTAAAGAGTGTGTAGACACTCCGTGCCACTGCAGGACTCCGCATTTTGGTTGGCAGTGGCCCCCCAAGCCCAAACTCTCTTTTTTCTATCTCTGTGTCTGAGTCTTTTATTTCTACAATTTCTCGTCTCTGCACCAGGAGGGAGGGGCTCTCAGAACCCTATAGGGCTGGACCTATAGTTACTGATCAAATCCCCTCCTTGACCATGTTCTCAGCAATTCACACCAATAGGCATTGAGTTCATTAAAAAAAAAAAAAAAAAACAAAAAAAAAACAAGAGAGTTTTACATACGTATGCAGCATTTTGAGATTTTGACTTCCTTCCTAGCTACAAATCTCCTTGAGGCTCCATCTGGGACATTGACCCCCACCCATATGTACCACCTTGAAGCTTCCCTTCTCTGGTTTGCTGGGGACTTTGTACCCAGAAGCTCCATCTGGGCATAGCATTACAGCTTTAGAGGCACCTGGGGGAACAGGGATGATTTCCTACAAAAACCAAGTATATCTGAAAGCTTTTATGTTTTTATGTTTCCTTCCTACAATCTCAGCTTCTGTTGAAGTGGAAACTTGACTGGAAATAAAGGCCACACTGATTTTCTTCTGAGAAAATACATTACCATGTTAAAAAGAAAAAAAAAAAAGTCCCAATTGTTCCGTGGGAAAGGTTTTTATTTTACAAATACTCTGTGATTCTGAAATGACAGCATGATTACATTTCTGACAGCACTGGTATAATTCTCAAACTCCCCAGGGAGAGCAATGTAGGGCTTTTCCTCCTGGAAAGAAAAGGCAAATTGCAGGTGCTGAAGGTACATTTGATTTAAGCAAGATTCAAAATAAGTACAGATGATAACACAGCAAATAATAAAAGTTGAGTAATTTAGCAAAAATAAGTTGTCTTATCCAGAGCACTATAAATGCATAAAAGAAAACTGCAAAAATAACTGTCTTTGTTTTTACAACTTCCCATTGGCTCGCTGTTTCCAAATGGGGAGATGTGAGAGGAACTGTAGGGAAGAAGAGAAACTGGAAGAGCGTAGGGAAATGTAAACATGACAAGGGAATAGGAGAGTGGAGGAAGGGGACAACTTCAGTGTCACTCTCACAGACTCTCCTGCCCCTTGTGATCTGGACAGAACCTGGTAGGCCTCGAATTCCCTGGAGGTTGCATCTCAGCGATAGTTGACCCGTCGTCTCTCAGCGTTGAGCACCTAGAAGGCGCTTTCGCAGGAGCAGGGCAGGGGTCTGGGGCGCGGAGGGGGTGGGCGCAAGCCGCCATCGTCTAGCAGTTCCCGCCGAGCATGGTGATAATGAGGGTGGGGCCAGCGTTGGCGGTGGAGCGCCTGGTGGCCCCTGGGCCCCTCCTCATCCTCCGCGCCCCCCTGCAGCGCGCAGCAGAGCGAGCCCAGGCGCCTCCACAGTAGTCGCCGGAGCCGGCAGTCGCCCGCCTGGAAGAAGAGGTAGACGAAGGGATTGAGAGCGCTGTTGACCATCCCCACGACGCGCAGCGCCGCCGATAGGCCCTCTGCCTCCCAGTCTCCCGCGGGCCCGGACGACAACGCGTTCGCCAGCCGGGCGGCAAAGTAGGGCAGCTCGCAGCCCACGAACAGCAGCGCCAGCAGCAGGCTCATCTTCAGGCTCTGCACCTTGGCGCGGGGCAACGCGCTGGGCGCCGGGGCTTGGCCAGGACTCGCCGACCAGGGCGCTGCATCTGCGGGGGCCTGCGGCCGGCGCCGCCACCAGACGGAGAGTAGGTGGCCGCAAGCGACGCCCAGGACCGCGACAGGCGCTGCGAAGCCCGCGACGGACTCGTAGAGCGCGTAGACCTGCAGGTGCCAGCGTGGCAGGGACGCGAAGATCCCGCGGCAGCGACGCTCCCCTGGCCAGGCGCGGGCGGCCGGGGGCGTGCCGGGCTGCGGGGACGGCAGCGGCGGCGGCAGAGGCGACAGTGGAGAGGGGGATCCCCCGCGCACCACGAAGGTGGGGGGCAGCGCCAGCAGCAGCGCCAGCAGCCAGCCCAGGGCGGCGAGGGTGCGCGCGGGCAGCCGCCGCGCGTGCGGTCGATGCATAGCGCGATGGCGCTCGAGGGCGATGAGCACCACGAGGTGGGCCGAGGCGCCCCGCCCCGAAGCCTGCAGCAGCTGCAGGAAGCGGCACGCCAGGTCGCCTGTGCCCGCGCGGGGCTCGCCCAGCAGTTCCCAGGCCAGCTGCGACAGCGCCGTGCCCCCGCACGCGTACAGGTCCGCCAGGGCCAGCTGTACCAGCAGGAAGTCCATCTTGCGACGCTTAGGGCCTGCCCAGGGCCCGCCGCCGCCGCACAGGCGGCACAGCACAGTGGCGTTGCCCGCCACCGCCACCACTAGGATGACCCCCAGGAACACCAGGCGGACGCGGCGGCTGGGCGGCCCGGAGGTGGGGGCTCCCTGCCCCAAAGTCAGATTGAGACCCCAGCCCAGTAGGATGGGCACGGAGAGGTTGGGCGCCGGCGGCGGAATTGAGGGTCTAAAGAGATCCTCCATCCTTGCCCGGGAGGAAGAGGAGGCACCGAAGAGGGCGGGCAGGACGCGGGAAACCAAAGTGGAGACGAGGCGGCTCGGGGAAAGCCAAGCTGGGTCTATGAGTTCCCAAAGTTAGTTGAAAAGGCACACGCACAGAGAGGGAGATGGATCAGTCGGTTTTGCGCTTAGTTGTTTTTGTCGATTGTCTTCGTCATTTGTCACTCAAATGTGGGTTGTACACTCGAGGAACACACATGATTCCTATTCTCCACCTTCTCCGCGTCTTCCCTCCCATTCCTGGCGGATCCTCTTCCAATCTCTGCAGCGGCCCCCGACGCTACCCTCGCGGAAGCCACGGGCTTTACTTGTAAAGCACAGCAGGACAGAAGTCTGCTTTGCTTGGCCATTGTATAAGGCCAGTGTTATCCCAGTGCCCACACAAGAGGGGACCTCTTGACTGAGATTGTACCACACTCCACCACCACCCCAATGTGATTGCCAATAGGAAAAAAAAATAGAGAAGACGTTAGTTTTGATTTTTAAATAAAGGTTTGAAATGCCATGGATCGGGCAGGAGCAGAAACACAAGAAAGCTAACAGCGTTTTGAGCAAAGAGACCTATTAGCTGAATTTGGATCAAGATACTTCTTCTCTGTCCAAGAATGAAAGTATTTTAATTAGAGAGTACTGAAGTCAATGATGTTGCTTCTAGGAGTGGCAGTGGTTTGTAGATCGTTCCAAATAATTCTCATTACAAGATGCAGTGGATCACAGCTGCTTTCTTGGTGATGTAAAATTCATTTCATTAGTCTGAAGAGGGCATTAATAGGTTTTATGCAAATGGTAGTGCATTTGTTGCTTTTCCCCTAATATTTTCATCCAGTGAAGGATGTGTCATCACACTCCTCATTCTCTTGATTCTGTTTTCCAGCAGATGGGAAGTTGCTAGGAGGGGATACGCCTCCAATAAGCCTAGAGAAAAGGTGACTAAGAAAGTGATAAGGCGGCCAATTTTTTTAAAAAAGAAATCCAAGTCTCAGGAAATGGTTTAGATTAAATGTTGCTGCTTTCATTTCAGCCTTGCCTTCTGACAAACAAATTTTACTTTTTCTGTTGGAAGCATCAATTTGCATTTTTATGCACCCTCCACGTTAATCAGGGTGAAAGAATTTCCTGTACTTCCTGGTCTGGGGGCCAGAGAGATATGGGTGTTTCCTGGAGTTCACATTCCCAGTCTAAGAAAACATTTGGAACTTTAAGATTTATGGCACAGGAAGACTTGGTGGGTTCCATGATAGTCCTGCCAGCTGCTGTAGGAATCTCATGTCCCAAGCTGTTGTCCTTTGGCCAGAAACCTTGGTTAGTTTCATCATCATCTCTGTGGAGCCTTTCTCTGGTCTGACACATTGTAGTTACCACTGAGTATGTGTTGAGTTGACGAATTAGTGGATATATGATGCATTTCAGATAACTTCGAGCATAAATTCTTGCCTTGACTATAAATCCATCACCTAAGAAAAAATTCCTTTCATACTATGCCGGTATTGTCCAGAGGAGCCCAAGGAAGCTCTGTGGAGACATAGGAATTACTGTTCTTGGGGAAAATCTAAAATCCTGGTTTGATTTTCATGCTCACCCTTTAGAAGTTTTTGTCCAAAGCCTATTTCTGTGCACACACATCATCCCAGTTTATAATGCACTTCTTCCAGGCAGCCTTCTCTAAGCAATGTTCATCATTCAGTGATTTTCCTAGCCAATATCATTTCAGTATTTCTCAAAACAGTCTATAATTTGTCTCAAATTTGTTGAAATGCTCTTATATATTAGCATTTCAAAATGACTACAGTGAAATTACATTTCACAGAACTTTGATAAGATCTGATAAAAAATCGATTTTCAACTAATTCTTTTTTTACTTTTTGAGACAAGGTCTCACTCTGTTGCCCAGGCTGGAATGAAGTGGCATGATCATAGCTCACTGCAGCTTCAACTTCCTGGGCTCAGGTGATTCTCTCACCCCAGCCTCCTGAGTAGCTGGGACTACAGGCACATACCACCATACCCAACTAATTTTTGTATTTTTTTGTAGAGATTGGAGTTCACCATGTTGCCCAGGCTAGTTTTAAACTCCTGGTCTCAAGCAGTCTTCCCACCTCAGGCTCCCAAAGTGCTGGGATTATAGGCATGAGCCACTGTGCCTGGCCTAAACTAATTCTTATTAAAATTATACATGCACATAGTTTTGAAAGTCAAACGGAACTAAGAAGGCTGATAACATCAAGAGTTCCCTTGTCCCATACATCTCTACTTCTTTATTTCCTCTTTCTAGTGGGAACAAATTTAGACTTTATTTGCTCTTTCTTCTGACATTTGCTTAATTCATGATAGTACATAATATGTGTGTAATGCTATTTATTGATTTAACAAATAGATATATTATCTGTTAACTTCTTATTAGATAAAGACTTATCTCTCACACTGTTTCCATTTCCCATACCATTAGAACAATACTGTAATTTAGGTTAGACTTGTATTTGGCATTTATCTTATTATGAAATGAAAATATTCATAGTTGAGTGTTGTATATTGTGAATATATTTTTTGTTTTTCTTAAAGTTAACAATTGCCTTTTCTTACTTTTCATTGTTGTCATAGCCAATTCTTCTTGTACTCTCAAATAGTCCCCCCATACAGTTTCTACAAGGTCAGTTTCATAATGTAATATAGCAGCTCCAATTTTATTTTAATAGAAACCACTTTACCAGAGATTTTCATTTTTCTCTTATTTGGGCTAATTTCTCCCTAGGCCTGCTGCAGAACTACCATCTGCAGACCTCTATTTGTTGTTATCGTTGAAACTTTCTGCCTTTCTCTTGGGTTGTAGTTCCTGTTTCTTGGATCTCTGGCCTTTTTCCTTGATTTCTTCCTTTTTGGTAGAACACATCATCTAATATTTCATAAGGCTTAAAGGTTGTACAAAGCCTGAGAACTAAGTGGTGAGAGACCTCATTGTACTCATTATTCGAGTCATGCAGATTCTGTCCGAACATGTTGACCTCTGGGACAGCGGTCATCCTGGAATCTCATGTCAGCATCATCCTAGGAATTTCTTTCACTTATGCTGGCTCTCTTGTTTTCTGGTTTAATTTTTTTTTTTCCTTTCCTGGTTTATTTTCTTGCTTGGGAGGAAAGCATGTTTCAGTGACTTATTGAGAGAGGGTAGCTATTTGAGATCCTACATGTCTGCAAATTTCTTTATTCTACCCTATTGCCAAATAAACTGATTATTTGTCTGGGTTTGGAATCCTAGTTTTGAAAATCTTTTCCTTCTGAATTTTGAAGGCAGTGCTCCATCCAACACAAAAAGGCAGTGTTTGTGTTGAAAAGACTTAAGCCATCTGATTCATGATTTGCTTAGATGCGATCATTGTTTTTTTCTTTCTAGAAGCTTATTATTCTTCTCTTTTTTCTAACCAATTTTATAAAATGTGTTTTTCTATAGGTTTATTTTTATCCAATGTTTTGGGCATAATAGAAGATAATGAATTGTATTTAATTGTAATACTTATTTGGTGGTCTTTATCTAAACAGCCTCCCAGCCTTTCTTTTTCTTTTTAGGATGCTGACATTTCAAGAGTCCATGACACATGTTTAGCAGAATGTCCTTAAAATTGTATTTGTTTCCACGTAATTAAATTTGGATTTGACTCTTTTGGCAGAAATATTACATAGGTAATACTGTCATCAGTGTATCATTTCAGGGATGCATAATGACACTTTGTCTCAATATAGATGTTATTAAGCTTGACATATATGTTTTGAAAATTCAATAGTTTTTAATTAAGTAGTACATGTTAATTGCAGAAAAATTAGATAATACATATTCACATACAAAAAATATTTGACATACCGCTCAGAGAAAACTGTCATTAATAGTGATATATACTTCAAACTATAATGACTAGATCTATATATCATAGAAATAGATCACACTGCATACAACAGTGTGCTTTCATTTCACCTAAGACTGTATTTGAATAGCTTCCCATGTCAGTGAAAATATGATATAATTATCTGTTTAATGTTGAATGGATGAATGGATTACAGTTATTTAAATAGCTCCCTATTTTTAGACAAAGGTTTTCTCATTTTCACTTTATAAATAATTCTGTGAAGAACATCTCTTCACCTACATCCTAGCACATGCATTCAATTATTCCCTCATGATAAAATTCTGTAATTGGAATTGCTAAGGCAGAGCACACACATTTTTAAGGCATTTTAACATGTGGTACTGAGTTATCCTCCACAAGGGACTCAAGCAATGTGTGTGTCTTTTCCCCCATAGTCCCATCATCAGCTTCTGTCACTCTCATAGATGCAGACATTTCATTATTTCTTCATTTTAAAAATCGAGATATAAGTTATATACCATAAAATCTAGAATTTTAAAGTATGCAACTCAGTGCTTTTTAGTATATTTACAAGTTTGTGCAACTACCACCACTATCTAATTCCAGAACTTTTAAATCATTCCCCAAATAAACCTACACACATTCTTTTCTTCTCCTAGCCACTGGAAACCACTAGTCTCCTTTGACTCTGTGGATTTGCTTATTCTTGACATTGTATAGAAATGTAGCCATATGACATGGCTTTTGTTTCTGGTTTCTTTGCTTTGAATAATGTTTTTAAATTTCATCCACATTGTAGCATTTAACAGTATTTCCTTATTTATGGTTAAATAATATTTCGTTAGGTGAATACACCAAATTTTGTTTATTCACTCATCAGCTGATGGATATTTGGGTTTCCATTTTTGGCTGTTTCCATTTTTATTGTTTTCATGACAGTGAATAATTCTGTTATGAATATTTGTATACAAGTTTTTCTGTGAATACCTGTTTCAATTCTCTAGAGTATATTCCTAGGAGTGAAATTGCTGGGTCATATGTGAATTCTATGTTTAACTTTTTTGAGGAACTGCCAAACTTTTTTATGCAGAGACTGTGCCATTCCCACCATTCCCACCATTCCCACCATTAATGTGAGTTTTCTAGTTTCTCCCTTTGTGTAGATGCAGTTTCTCATTTGGGATCATATTCCTTCTGCTTAAAGAATGTCCCTTAACATTTCTTGTAGTTCAGAACTGCTGGCAACACATTCTTTTAGTTTTCTTTTTCTTTTTTATTTTTTGTGTTATAAAGTTTCTATTTCACCCACATTTTTGAAAGACATTTTTACTGGGCATATAGCATTCTAGGATGAGTTGTTTGTTTATTTGTTTGAGATAGAGTCTTGCTCTGTTGCCCAGGCTTGAGTGCAGTTGTGTGATCTTGGCTAACTGCAACCTCCACCTCTTGGGTTCAAATGATTCATCTGCCTCAGCCTCCTGAGTAGCTGGGATTACAGGTGAGTGTCACCATGCCTGGGTATTTTATTTTATTATATTATTTTATATATATGTATTTTTTGAGACAGAGTCTTACTCTGTCACCAGGTGCCAGGCTGGAGTGCAGTGGTGCGATCTTGGCTCACTGCAACCTCTGCCTCCCAGTTTCAAGCAATTCTCCTGCCTCAGCCTCCCGAGTAGTTGGGACTAAAGTTGCATGCCACCACGCCCAGCTAATTTTTGTATTTTTAATAGAGATGAGGTTTTGCCTTTTTGGCCAGGCTGGTCTCGAACTCCTGGACTCGGGTGATCTGCCCAGGTATGCCTTCTAAAGTGATGGGCTTACAGGCATGAGCCAACATGCCCAGCCCTTTTTATATATTCTGCTGGGGCTTCTCTAAACATTTAGGTTGGTGATTTGTTGTCTTTTATTAATTTTAAAAAATTCTCAGCAATTATCTTTTCAGTTATTTCTTCTGACACTTTATCTCTCTATATTCTCCTTCTGTGACTGGAATTACACATATATTACAGCATTTCATACTGTCCT